TGGGTCCTTTGCACCTGATTCCTCCCAACATTTGGTAATGCCTTGTCTCATGCTTATTTTTTGCTCTTGTGTGTGCTATTTCAGGTTACATTCCTTCTTTTTCAGAATGTTGACCTGTTGGTTAAGACTCTTAGGTTATTAAGAAGATAGGTTCGTTCCATGGTAGGTTATTAAGAAGATAGGTTCGTTCCATGGTATACATTCTAATTGCGGATTCAAAGGCAAATTAGATTAGTCACAGACGAAACTGATTTTATACAAAAGTTCTTTTAAACAAATCTACCGCTTTTTATTACCCACTCATATATACAAGTTTGACTAATACACACACACACATATATATATAACTGATTGAGGTAATCCTTTTTAAGAAGGAATATATCGGAGTCTTACAACAAAGGGTCTCACTTTGATCGACATCTGCTGGTTTCCACTTAGATTTACATGTGCTTAATTTCCCTCGTTAGCTTCTTCTATCCTTTTCTCCACTTATCTAGGACAGTCCTGATGAAGGTTAGCATGAACTGCTCTCAAAAGGATATATAGAGTACATAGATGCTGAAGAAGAGGAGACTACCACGATCTCCATAATCATAAATGGAAGTGAGACATGCATATGTAGCTACCTGAACATATTCTGAGGCCCTTATGTATGAAACGGATTTTGTCTACCATTCTGGAGATTCTTCTATGTAAATCAGTTCACTTTTCTTCTTTACAGTAGTTTGTTGTCACTATATAGGCAGGGATGAATAAACGATCCAATACTTCTTCCTGATATATACTAAATCCGTCAACATTTCAGTTCCATCCCTGTATTGCACATTTGAACATTTACTCTTCAGTCATAGTTTGCCTATGCTATGTAAATGACCAGGGCCCTGTTCACTTCTCTTATAATCCGTCTTTTTCAGCTTATTTTTTCAGCCGGAACAATGTTTCTCTCTCACAACAAATCAACCGAAACAGTGTTTCGGCTTGTTTTTTCAGCGAAGCGAACGGGGCTATGATCATGAAGCTTTGCCCTCGCGCGCGAAGGCGCGCGCCCTTCACCAGTACAAAGCAGAAGTAGAAACCTCGACACTCTCAATCCTGGGGGTTGGGGACCTGACAGAATAGCACATCGATTAATCGAGCAATCGCTACACCAATCGTCCTGCTAACTGCATCAGTCATTCAGTATCCTAGCCTCCAAGCAACCTTGTAGTACGTGTGTGTATATGTGTAGATTATCACATTTTTTTTTCGAAAGTGTGCTTGGCACGTGCTTCATTAAGAGAGGTTAGAGTTGGTACAAACACAGACCGACGGCGAGGTGCCGAGGTCGCTGCACGGTTAAACACTGACAAAGATCACCGGCTCAAACGGTGGAGCTAAAAATTCGTACTAAGAAACCAATTTCTGCGACAAAGCAAAAAACAGCGTCGGCAACTAGTTCACCGCGGCGACCAGCGCCGCCAAACTCCGGTACCCAGCGGCGGTCCAGGAGTCGCCCTCCTCGCAGATCATGGTGAAGACCTGAGCCGGCGACTTCACAACGTTGTCAAACGTCCGCCTGTCGCGCTCCTTCCAGACGGCCCAAGAGACGAGCAGGACGAGCGAGTCGAAGCCACGCCGGAGGCTGCCAGGGATGTCCGATCTCGTTTGCTGCCACCAATCGGCCAAGCGCGAATCATTGTTAGGCCCCAAGCGCTGCAAACCTGCTCTCGCCACGCCAACAGGCGTTGCCAGACCTTGCGCGTGAAGGTGCACGAGGCCAACAGGTGGTCTGTGGTTTCGTCTTGCTGGTCGCAGAGGGCGCAGGTGGCCTCCTGCTGCAGTCCATGGCGTTTCCGTCGTTCAGCCGTCCACAGGCGACCGTGCAGCGCTAGCCAAAAGAAGAATTTGACCTTGGGCGGAGTCGCAGCTCTCCAGACGTGGTTGGCGCCCACCAGTGAGGTCATTCCGGTGAAGAAAGCTCTATATGCCGATGAGGCAGTGTAAGTGCCCCTCGCCGTCCATTTCCAAATGAATCGGTCGGAGGTATGGGGCATGAGCTCAATCGACTCGACCATGTCCCAAACAGCGACGTATTCATAGAGGACTATCGCCGTTGGCGCGCCGGCAATATCTCTGGCCCACTGCCGGTTAGTGAGAGCGTCCTTGACTGTTCGCCTCAGCCGTCGACACCCCACCGCCAGAAATTGGTTGGGGGCGAAGTCGCAGATGGCCCCTCCCGGCAGCCAAGCATCCGTCCAGAACCGCGCGGTGGCGCCGTTACCCACTTGAACGGTGACCGAAGCCCGGAACATTTAGATTATCACATGTAATTAAGAGTTCTCACATGCAGTATAAATCAAGCCATTCTACTGCACAGTAAGCTCGCATCTTTGGCAAGACCATAGACACTGCACAGTAATATCGCATCTTTGCCAAGACCATAGACATGGATGCTCTGTTCATATCCCTAACACTCTCTTCGGTCCTTTGCTTCTTGATCACGTACTACTACCATCTCCAATCTAAGAAAACAAACCCGATCGAGCCGACCGAATGGCCAGTTTTTGGGCACCTCATGGCCATGCTTGCCCACATCAACAACTTCCACGACAGCACCACCGAACTCCTGGCCGCAGTGGGCCACAACTTCGAGTTCCGCGGGGTCTCACCGGCCTCCGTTACTTCATCACCTGCGACCCGGCCAACGTGCGCCACGTCTTCACCTCCAACTTCGCCAACTATCCTAAAGGACACGAGTTCGTCGAGATCTTCGGCGTTTTCGGCGGCGGCATCCTCAACGCCGAAGGGGAGTCATGGCAGCGCCAGCTGGTGAAGGCCCAGATGTTCTTCACTGGTCCACGGTTCCGCGCCTTCGTCGCACGGAGCAGCCGCGACAAGGTGGAGAAGAGCCGGCCTCCTACCTTTCCTCGCCCACGCTGCGGACGAGGCGACGCCGTGCGATCTGCAGGACGTATTCCTGAGGCTTGCGTTCTACACGGTGTGCACTCTTGTCTTCGGCGTCGACACTAGATGCCTAGCCACCGGGCTGCCCGTGGTTCCTTTCGTGCGCGCCATGGACGTCGCATTGGAAACGTCCTCGTTCCGTCACATCATCCCCATACCGTGCTGGAAGCTCATGAGAAGGCTGAACCTTGGGCCGGAGCGGAAGATGGCCGTTGCTCGGCGGACCATCGACAGCTTCGTCGCTGAGACGATCGCGCGACGCCGGGCGGACAAGCTCAACCAAGGTGGTACTGACTCCGCCGACATTCTTTCATCCTTGCTCCGCGACGACGACAGCGCGGACGAGTTCATACGTGACACGGCGGTGAACTTCGCGATCGCCGTGGCCGTGACGCTATCGTGGTTCTTCTACCTCGTGTTCAATAACCCGCGCGGCGAGAAGAAACTCGTAGACGAACTCTCCGGCGCCATTGCTTCACGCGATGAAGGCGCGCGCGCCGCTGACGGTGCCATGGTTATCGACGCGACCGAGCTCAGCAGCCTGGTGTACCTGCAGGCTGCCATTTACGAGTGCCTAAGGCTGTACCCACCCGTCCCATTCGAGTACAAGGCCGCTGCCGCCGCCGACGTGCTGCCGAGCGGGAAGCAGTTGAAGGCAGGCGACAAGGTGATCATGTTTGCCTACTCCATGGGCAGGATGGAGGGCGTGTGGGGCAAGGACTGCATGGAGTTCCGCCCCGAGAGATGGCTCAACGAGGAAGGCACCAAGCTTCGGTGCGCGCCGTCCTACAAGTTCATCTCTTTCAACGCCGGGCCACGGATGTGCCTGGGCAAGGAGATGGCGTTCGTGCGGATGAAGTCCGCGGCGGCGGCAGTGCTGTGGAACTTCACCGTCGAGGTGGTGCCGGGCCACGTCGTGGAGCCGAAGCTGTCCGCCATATACTTCACATGGAGAATGGGCTCCTTGTGAGGGTGCACCGGAGAGGCTTCATGGGCCACAAGTAGAAGCATGTCGCCCGGCTAAATTCTACATTGGGCCCATGACAGTCCGGGTATGCAAGACTTAGTTCGGAGGCCAATGTAGGCAGTGTTGGACCTCCGAATGCAATAGAGAACCAACCCAGCCCATGATTCGATTGCCATCCGTCCGTGACGGAAACACACACACAACTTGATATTGTAATTTGTCATCAAAAAGTGTGGTTATCAGACTACAGTGTTTCGATGTGGAGCACCGCCAAATAAACGAAGAATTATCAATCATGTACAGGCTACAGTGCTATCTGAAGCTCCTTTTCACATTCAGATAAGATCAACCATCTAACTACCTGCTTCTATGCTCTGTCAACAGGTAACTCTCATCTGATGTCAGGACAACTTTTCTAGCGACAACAACGCAACATGTCGCAGCCATCACAAGTTTGACACGGCCCTTGTTGGTCGCTAGAGCAGCAAGTTTTCAGGCAAGCATTCAGGAACGTACGACGAATAGCCACAACAAGTCAAAAGAAGAGAACAGCTGCACAGCAGCACAGCTGTGTGGTTATCAGGTCAGCAATGTCCATACAGCAACGCTAGCGACCAATTAACCAATGGTGAGCACCAACTACTACCAAACCCTAGAGTTAAAATCTGGTTCTGGAGCATATGGAAAGTAACTTTCCATAACAAACCAACCAGAGCCTGTTCGCTTGGTCGTAAACGATCGTGGATTATAAGCCAGAACAGTATTTTTCTCTCACACCAAATCAGCCAGCAGTAATAATCCACGATCGTTTCAGCCGAAACGAACAGGCTGCAAATTGACGCTCAACCTGCTCCTGCAACCTTAAATAAGAGTCTAAGTACGTTCAGCCTAGACCTAACAGGTATTTTCATTTGGCGGGAAAAAAAAACAAGAGAATAAATGTACTCCTGGAACCCTAAGCAGAGAGGCTACGAAGATGACAGCCCCGAGCTCATCTACCAATTTTAATTGAGAATCAAAATAGCCCCCAGAAGTGGACAGCTTCTTTCCTGAACTGAACAGCTTGCCACCTCTTTTCCCCTCTCTGCCATCATGGAGGGGTGGCACCCTCACATGGCCAGAGGAAGAAGAGCCAAAAAACACCCCCTCTGTATTCCACTCCCCAGTCACCACCTTGAAGAAACAAACATACACAACCCTACCATCAAAATGCCATACCATGCCCCCCGAATGCCTTTGTCCAGATTCTCCTCCCGTGCTCTCCCATTAGTAATCTGCAAGCACAGGATGAGATAAACACAGGTTTGGTAAGGAGGAACAGTCAGCCATATGGTGAAACAAACAGCAGTGGGAGCTGCATATTGGTGGCAGCCCAAAGAGAGCCGTGGTGCTGCTCGTGCTCGTGTTTCCACTAACTCACCATCCTTCTTCTTGACCAGGCTCCTGGCGAAAAGCAAGCAGATGACCACGAAACCCAGGCCTACAGCTCCCCCGAGCACAATGGCTACAGTCTTTGCTGTCTGCTGCCCTGAGAAGTGAGAAGCACAACGGGAAGAGGCAAATCGATTGATCAGACTAGGGGCACCATGGTCTAATCATGGGAACAATCATGCATGCATATCTCCGGTAAATTCAGGAAGAAAGGCAAAAAGGCAATGAACACAACTTTTATCAAAGCTTGAATAGCCAGATGCATAAACAAGGTGGGAAAATGGAACTGCACTACCCTACTACCATATAGTAGTACCTACAGAAAGCGTGAGCCAAACAATGGGAGTTGATGGAGGTTCAGTAATGCACATCTCCTAAGCTGAACTAATTAGCTGAAGAAACACGTAGAATGTGGAAGATAAAGAGAAGGATATAGGCAAACAAAAGTATCCATGTCTGTCAATTCATAAACTAAACAGACATGATAAGAGCAAGATCATGCCACATCTCAATCAAAGTTCCACTTCGTCAGAGTCACAGCTACCTATAATTCTGTTCTGGACCACTCAAGGATTCTAATGTATACAATGATACACCTGAGAGTGGACTAATCTACACACATTTGCCCAAAACCCAAAGGAACAACCTAAAAGGTACCAATCGCTATCAATCAATCAATTCTGAAGCACAAGTGAACAAAGAGCACTGCCAAGATCTCACCTACACACATACAAACAAATCTTCCAACAAAACTTCAAAGTCATAAACTAGGCACCCACATGAATCTTAACAACTGGTTGCACTTGAACAATGATGCTGCATTTGCCCGATTCATCAATCGGGCCAATGTATCCACGGACCCATCAACAAGCAATTGGAGTGAATCGGAATGCTGGATGCAAATGAAACTTGCAAGCACAGCCAAGGCACCAATTTGTCAAATAGAACAGCGTTGCATAGGTAAAGCCAGGAGAGGAGACTAACCTCCCGCGCCGCCGCCGTGGGGCACGCCGTGGGGGTAGTAGCTGTAGCTAATGTAGCACTTGTCGAGGTAGACCTGTCCGGAGGGCGCGCCGCCGCACTCGACCTCGACGTGCTGCACGGCCTGGGTGACGCACTGGCTGCAGTCCCCCGTGGAGAGGTCGCCCTCGCACTGCGCCATGGCGTAGACGGCCTGGTAGCTGGTGGCGACGAAGCCGCCGGAGCTGGTGGCGACGCCGCCCTCGAGCGCGGCGAAGGCGGTGTCCCTGCGCATCTCGAAGTCGCCCCCGCCGCCGCCGCCGCCCGTGCCGCAGGTCTTGAAGAGCATCTGGATGCCGGAGACCTGGGGGAAGCCGGACACCTCGTAGAGCGCGAGGCAGCCGGCGAGCTGGACCCGCGCGGCGACGGAGGCGCCGCAGACGCCCGGCCAGGAGGACGTGGCGCGGGAGACGCAGGCGGCGCAGTCGGTGGCCGAGAGGTCCCCGCGGCACTGGAAGAGGCCGAAGACGGAGGTGGCGGTGGCCGTGGAGGCCGAGGAAGAGGAGGTCTTGTAGAACTTGGCGGAGGCGGACTGCGCCGAGAGCGTGGCGGAGAGGGCGGCGATGCTCGCGGGCGCCACCCCGCCGGGGAAGCTCTGGTTGGCGCAGCCCTTGTAGATGAGCGCGTAGATGTCGGCGCACGAAACGGGCGGCGGCGCGTGGAGCAGCAGAACGGCGACTGCGGCGGCGGCCAGGAAGAGGAACCGGCGAGCTCTGCGAATGCCCATCTCGCCGCCGGGTCCTGGGGATCTCTCGGCCTCGTCTCCCCGCCCTCGGCACCCGCACTCTCCCTCTCTGCTCTGCTCTCCCACTGCTCTCTGCCCCCTCGTCGCGGCGGCGGTGGTGGTGATGTTGTGGAGTGGGAGTGTACTGGACTGGAGACCTGAACTGCCACGCTCGCGGCTCGCCTGCTTCTGCTTGGTGGGTTGCCTTGCCTTGCCTTGCCTCCGCCCCGCGCCGCGCCCGCGCTCCTCTAGCCCACCACCGCCAGGTGCCTCTCGTTTCTCTCTCCCGTTCCGTTCCCCCCTCTGCGTTTGTTTCGGCTGATGACGTTAATGCCGCGGTTAATGTGGAAAGAGGACGGGAAAGCACGGGCATCTCTGGCGTGTGAAGTGAACAAGAGCCGAGGAGGAAAAATCGGAGCTTGCACGCAAAATGCAGCTGTTGCCACTCATCAGCTTTATTTTCGTCCGCAAAACCGAACTGCGCTGGTTGCGAAAGTGCTAACAAGATTACGGTTTTCAAAAGCAAAATGTCGCGGACCAACGTCTCGATGGGCTAAAGCTAAAAGAGGATATACTAAACGTTGTTGTCAGGAAAGAGACTTGTAATCTTAGGCTAGAGGGTTTTGTTGCAACGGGGACGCTTACGAGAACTCCGTTGCTCTTGGATGACTTCAGCAGGTTGACACCTCCTGTTCCTCACGCCGAAGTTCAGGTGCGCTGCTCACTGGGCATCGTTTTTAATACCGTTAGATTAGATGGTTTGCAAAAGTAGATGCTTTGAAGGGGAGAGACTGCGAAAAATAGTTATTATTGATGTCTGAAAATTATGTGGCTAAATCAGATAATAATTCTAATTATTTATTTATATTGGCCCTGTTCGTTTCGCTGAAATTTAGCTTATGCCGATTTATGTTAAGAGAAAAAATATTGTTCGTTCGATGAAAAGTATTACTAAAGTAGTGCTACAGAACCGGACCATTGACTACTCCTTTTGTAGCCTGCTAAGAAGTGCTTGCTAAAAAGTGCTTGCTGCAGTAGCATCGACTGCTTAGTTGTAACTTCTTCTCACAGCGTATTGTATAACCAGTGCAACCAGCTGTATTATAGCTGAAGGGAACACGCCCAATGTTCATATACCTAAGGGCAAGTACATAGCTATAGGTCAGCGGTCTTACACTTCATCACATGCAGTGCCACGTAGGATTTTTCCGATGTGAAAGAAAGAGAGATGAAAGAGAGAAAGAGGTTGTTGTTTTGTGAAACAACCACCTCATGAGCTAAAATTTAGGACTATGAGACTACTTACACACTTATTGTACAAGTTGTCGTTGTTATGCAACTCACAAATATTCCTTTATTGTATCCACAAATTAAGGACTCTAAAATTACTACGAGACAACTTAAACGACAATCCATTGTACTTGATACCTCTTAAGTCGTCTTATAATTATGTGGCACTGCATAAGACTATCTATGAGACAATACTTGCCCTAAGAAACCACTGCGACTGCGTACTGAAGAAGTACAAACGAGTGAACCCATGGTTATTAATAGCAGAAGTTTTTTAAGTTATCTAAGATCGTAATTTAAAATTTTGATCATGCAGTATTTTTTACTTTTCCGGTTTAAATGTTTGAAAATAGTACAAGTGGTTTTGTCTTAAAAATAGTTTTTTTTTCAAAAGTATGTATTAGTTTTATTTTACAAATATACTATAACAAAAATATTAGTCAAAGCCTCAAATGGTTCACTTCAAAAATTCTTGTACAAATCCTAAGAAATTGAAATGATTATAATGAAATTGATGTACAATTCTTATGAAATTTTCGGATTCCAAACATGCCCTAAAATACGGATCTTTCTCTCTCTCTCTCTCTCTCGCAAATCACGATACAAATACATGCACTCATACATGTAAACAGAGTTACTCCTATAAACACGCGCATGCACACATATTATTTCTACGAGCACTTTCAAAAGATTAAATCAGTAAGTCTCGACATTGACAGTCATCAATTCGTCATCTGACTCTCGTGACATGTTCTGGTGGAGCGGGAGCAAATCTTGCAGTATTTGGAGTACGAGTACTTCCATCGAGGCGTTGAGCCTTATTTCAGTCTTTGATTGTACCCTTAAGTTATTATTAGGCGCATTAAATTGATGTTAATGGCCTTCTTTATGTCGTAGTACGTGGGGGTGCAGCCGTGCAGGTTTTGGACGCACGGTGTACCAGATGTGGGTAGTACCAGGGATTCGCATTTGGCGTGTCCTTTGGATCTTCTACATTTATACCTCTGTATATTAACCTCGTTGCATGGTTTTACTTCTCCGAAGGCATTGACATGGTTCTCGATCACTTTGTATATAAAACAAAAGTGGCTTCTTCGATGGTCATCAATTTGTGCTATCTTTGTTTTAAACCGATTCGATTTTAAAGAAGAGCTTGTTGTGTTAGCAGAAGTTTTATCCATCAATACTTTTCGTTTGCAAAGCTTAAAGATCACACCACATTCATTTGTCCTCCCAAACAAATGCGTCCTAATTTGTCACGTAGCTAGTGGGCCAATTTGGCTAGAGTAGAGAACACTTCGACCCTGGCTTTTTTATCTTTGAAAGAATGCGCTACAGAAAGTGCATATTTGCTAGGGTGTACCGCGGTGAACTTGTTAAAAATTATATATAGCTACAAAAATTGGTACCAGCATATCTCTGTTTACTTTGCGATTTAGACTTACTATATTGGTGTGCTTACAAAAGCTGATTGCTAAGCTAAAATTAGCTCTAGTTCGTCTAAACATGAGATGTAGTAGGTGGCTAATTTGTTAGACAAGTCTTTAATTAGTTGTTAGCCAGTTATAACTAATTTGAGTTAATTTTAGTCCCAATAACAACTAACCATGTGCATCCTTACGGGCCCATAATCTCGAAGAATCGTCAACCATTGTCCGGCCTGCCTAATATCTCACTGGTCACTGCCCGTACTAAAATTTTTGGGCGCAGAAGATCCACATCCGCCCTCTCCAAGTGTCCTGCTTTTCTTCGTCCGCAACGTTCGTTTTTCTGCACCCAAGATGTCGTTGTGGAGTGCCAGAACCGTGACTTCAGGATTAGATTAGATACACCCCAGCTTTACATCAACATGACAGGGATTAGCAGATTATACTCGCAGCACTCGCAGGAACTTGGTTTGCTGATGAAAGGAGGAACCAACGAGAGTACTCGCTACTTTTCCATGCCTGTCAATTTCCCTGTCATGCTAAGGATGGGATGGGACTTGACTCCATGCAAATGCAGCAACCAGCGAGGAAATGCAGTCAGTTCGTTTCGGCTGAAACGATTGGTGTGAGAGAAAAATACTGTTCTGACTTATAATTCACGATCATATACGACCAAGCGAACAGGTTGATGCATGCTGTGCTACTGCCACGGTGCATCGGCCTTTTCAGAATGTACAGTGTTGTACTAGCGATTGCCGGCTTGCTTCCGACTCCTAAGCTTTACTCACTGTTTCATCGGATGTTTGACATATGCATAGATTATTAAATATAGACTAATTACGAAACTAAATAAACGGATTGAGATTAATTTGCGATACGAATTTTTTAAGCTTAAGTAGTCCATGATTTGACAATGTGGTGCTACCGTAAACATGTGATAATGACGGATTAATTAGGCTTAATAAATTCGCCTTGTGGATTACTGACGGATTCTGTAATTTAATTTTTTATTAGTATCCTGATACCCTATGGGACACCACATGTGACATCCGATGAAACACCTCTTAAACTTTAGTTCCTGCATCCAAGCATCTGGATGTTAGGTGGAATTATAAATGTCCATGCAGCCCGAGGCACGATGGCACGGCACGAAACCCACTTTTTTAGCCCGACACGAGCACGGCCCGGCCTGGTGACGTGCGGGCCTAGGCTAGCCCGGCCCGGTATAGCAGGTCGTGCCTGGGCCGTACCCCAGCCCCATGGGCTGGCACGGCACGGCCCAACTTTTTAGGGTCAGCCCGACAGTCGCCCGCCACCCCCTCTCCCCCACGGCCCAAGGCGACGGCCCAGCTGCTCTCCGCCTCCCCCTTCATATATAAGCGGCGCCGGCTCCCTCTCCCATCCCTCACAAAACCTTAAATTATTTTGTCATCTCATTCCCCACCCAGGCACCCACCCGCGCCGCTCCGCCCTCTCGAGTCGCTCTCGCTCTCTCTCCGCCGTCTCTGGTGACCTCCCCCGACTCTGGTGACTGTAACACCCCGGTGTTATGCCTACATTTAGGCACTGCAAATCATGCATATCATGCATCATCAAGCATCCTAATCATACATGAATAATCTTGCATATAATATCTGAAACATTACTTCGAAACATACGAAACATGTTTGTGAAACGTAAATGATGCATACACTTATTAGAGTTGTTTTGCTCTGATTCTTGCTTGCTAGGTTAGTAGAACATGTTTGGCTGCTATTGTAAATCATCTAGCAATGTTTAGTTCAATTTTTGGAGCAATGTTTGTATTCAAATTATTTCAAAATTCGGCTTCAAAAATAAATTCCAAAAATTAGGGTTTTGAGCTAAACGTGGACTTTGATCTTCCAATTCAAAATCTAGAAAGAATTTGGTCAGGTCCTAAAAGCAAAGTTGTAGAGAATTAAATTCTAAGCAACTTTCATTTTGGTACATTTTCAAAAGAGGTCATCTTCTTACTCAAAATAAGATTTGAAAGCTGGCTTTTAAAAAGTTCTTGAAAATATAAATGAAAAAGAGTTTTTTTCTGTTTCTGGCCGCCTCCTTTTCCTACCAGCCTCAAGCATGCCGGCCCAATGAGCCTCCTCACAGCCACACTGGCCTTGCCTCGCTTCGCCCAGCCACTGACCACCTGCCCGCCTGCCCTCACACTCCGCTTGCCACACCACACACAAGCGTCCCGATCATGCAGCAGCTTCGCTCACAGCGTGGCAAGCCTGCTTGTTAACGCACGCCGCGCCCAGCACGACC